AGAAGAAGCTATCACGAAAGGCATGCTGAGCGATGTTATTTTTTTTTAAACAAAAGAAAAGTGGTAAAGATTTTATTTTCATTTGCGAAAAAAGTATTTTTGTCGCAGAAGATAAGAAATTCGTAAGATCTCGGATCTGTCGGAGTTAATTTATGCTATGACGCGGCGAATAAAAGATAGCAATCTGCCCATGGCAATAATGAAAATTTCAAATTGGTCAAGTGTCTTACAAAGCAGAATGTTAAAAGATACTCAGATTTAGGTCGAGCACCGACCGAGAAAGGGATCAGCTGAGACCACCCCAAAGAAAAAGGGAGGGTGAAAAGAGAAAAAGGAAAAGAATAAACCATTAACTATCTTTCGGAGATATCAATTGGTTTTGGGAAGAGACCACCTGTTTTATGTCCAGACCTGGCCATGATAAAAGTTTGTTACCGGGAGGTATTGTTGGCGACAGAAGTACGAAGGCGTTAAGGATATAAGGAGATTCTGATAATTACTTGACAAAAATTCCAGATGACATTCAGTTAAGATAGAGATTAAGGACCACACTACGAGTCGTGGAGGTCTGGTCGAGGAAAAGAAAGAAAAGAAAAAGGAAGATAATTGTTTTTCTTTGAGCGATAATTGTAAGCTGAGGCTAGACTGGCCGCGCCCACGCTGCCGGGCGTTCATTGGCTGAATGGTGGCGTGAGCGGTGGGCGAAGGTAAACATATGAGAAGGAGGGAAGGCCTGTTGACGCCTCTGAGGGGATTGGTGTGAGATACCACTATGAGAAAGAAGGGAAACCTGTTGACGCCCTCTGAGGGGATTGGTGTGAGATACCAATATGAGAAAGGAAGAATTTGGGAGAACAATTCATTTAAGAACCCCTCTAAAACACAAAGTAATGGACTTCAAAAAATGGAAAGTGATAAATTTTCCTGTCCGAAAACAAAGAAAATCCTTATTGTGGATTTGGAATTATCGAGGAACCCAAACCACGACAGGCCCCCACCCGGTTTTGGTCGGCGTCCATATAAACGGAGAGACGGAGGAAGTTGGGCAGAAGCAGACAGAGTGACAGAGCAGACAAAATTGAGCTGTGAGCTCGGAGAACAGCCTCGCAGGAGCGGACTGAAAAATATCCACGCATTCCGACATTTTTTGAAGAACGACTTAGACTCACACCACCAAAACAAGTTTTACGAATATCGCCTGAAGACAACAAAAAACAGTTTATTGAAAATCAACTTAAGATATTAAGACTCGCCTCACAAACGCAAAGTGTCACGTATCCATAGAAGCGGTTCAGCAACCAGTTATAAAAATATTTGTTATTCTTTTTTTAACACATTTGAACCTTTCGAGTTGTTACTTTATTTTTTTTACATATACTTGTGCGATGTCACCTTTGCTCGAATTCGGCTTGCATTACGGCCCGGCGACTGATTGATTTCGTCTACCTAAGATCAAATCACAACGTGGGTAGGTTAGACTAGAAATCAAAGCAGTTACTTCGGTAACCAGACGTTGGAGGCGAGCTGGGAACGACAAAGCTGATACCGAATCTAACCAGATTCCCATCCGAATTAGCCAAGGGTTAGAACGTCACATTTGGCGCCGCGACCAATACCAAGTCACATTGGTCGTCACAGGATAGCACGGGGGCAGAGAGGTACGGGGTGACGTCACAACAGATTTAATGTTTAGTATAGAGCTTAGAAAAATTCGCAGTGTGAGATAGGCAAGAAGTAAGGCATGTAGCAGCATCAGCACGGCAAAGGGCACTTCTTTAAAGGCAAGGAAATGCAAAAATATTTTAAGTCAAGTGATAGCGATCGCTGTATAAGTCGTACGATTTTTGAATCAAGCACGGGCAATGCCGGACCATGCTGCTAGTAAACTGTATAAAACTGCTTTCGCGGACTATTAATTAAATATGGCTGCGAGGGAATGAAGCTAGCAGGTCTTGAACAGGACAGTTCTTTATTCGACTTTAGATTGACGCTATGGTATCACTAAACTGTACCAAATGGGAGAAATCACATCACAGCAACTAAAATGGATAGCCCATATGACTGAAATAGATAATAATAATAATAACGTAATCAAGATGCTGACGTTCCGCATTACATTGAGCAAAAATATTAGGAAGTCACCCCCTATCAATACAGGAAAGAGGGATAACAGTGGATTCGGGAAAGATATTTTTTTCTGAAAAATGGTGGTAAGAAAAAAATTCATTTAATTTCAGTTATAAATAGCTCTTCTTACTCGATGAATGAATGCTGATTGATTTTATATAACATAACGGATAATATGACCATTGCTATTAACATACGTTTGCAAGTCCCGGCCACAAATCTCGTGGAACTCATCAGGCAAAGATGTAAATCAAAAATCAAAACAATGCCTGAACTGACAAATCTTGATGTCATGGATGATTACTTTGAAGATTTTATGTGGAATCACGGATTCAAAGTCTCAAAATATTTATCATTTTTTTTTACATCAAATGACCACTGATTTATATCCTGTTTAATATTATTCCTTCTTAAAATAATTCGAAAACACGTTTATTGATGTTGTTTTTGACTGACTGAAAACATAATAGTTTCCAGGCATTTAATATAAATGTTGTCTGAAATAGGACAGAAACACTGCGGCGTTGTCAAGGACACTGGAACATGAAATGCGTTATGATCAGATTGATATCGGAAAGAGCAATAAAAATGCAAAAGGAGGTAGTCTTACATTTTATAGATTACACAAAGGCACATCACAAGCACATTTGAATTGATTAGGGAAACTATATCTATTCGGAAATGGTCGATTGATTCGTTGTCTACGGCTTATCGGCCCTTTGCAGGTTATTTAAATCCAGATAATATTTTTAGATGGTAAGGATTTTTTTATATAATATTGTTTTCTTTGGGGGGGGATTTATTTTTGTTTTTTTGTGATACAAGTCTTATTAATTAACCCATAGACGGGGGATGAGAAGATGTAGATTTATACCTTTCCCAATGTGACGTCGTCCCCCGGCCGCAGCGCCGACTGTGACGTCCTATTCTTGATCAACCACGGCGCCAGTTGTGACGTCCCTGAACAGCACCAATTGTGACGTCTTCGCCGCGGCGTCAGCTGTTCGCTCTTCGCTGCTCCGTCCGGGTGTCGCTGCTCCAAACGTGACGTTCTAACCCTTTGGTGATTCGGGTAGGAATCTGGTTAGATTGATACCAGCCTCGCAGTTTCCAACCTGCTTCCAACGCCTGGTTACCAGGGTAACTGCCTACCCACGTTGTGAATTGATCTTAGACAGACGAGATCAAACAGGGGTTGGGGCCGTAATGCAAGCTGAGTTCAACGGGGGTGATAACACACAAATATGTATAAAAGAAAATAAAATGAAAACTCACAAAGTTCAAAGTATCAAAGAAAAAGGTAACAAACTCTTTATGTCTATTTGTTCGGTACATAGGACTATGTCTACTTCCCGACCCGTTCTGTGGATTGTGGCACGACGCTTTCGCTAGGCAAACTTTAACGCTTCAAGTTGTCTGCTCTCTAAGAAATTTGTGTTTCGGTGTGTCTTTGGACGAAAGTCGAAAAACTTATTTCTGTGGTCTGGTTCTAAGTCGCTCTTCAAACTACTTGTTCTTGGTTGAAGAAGAGTCCAAAAGTGTGCGTGAATCTTGGTCAGCTATCTTGATGTGGTTTCAACACTGGGAACTCATCTCTGCCTGCCGTCCGGGGCTCAACTGATTTCTGTCTGGTGGGGCTTCGTTTTTATTGACGCCGTCAAAACTGGGGTGGGTCTGTCGGCGTCAGGGGTTCTTCGATAATTCTAAATACGTATCCACCCTTCTTATTTCTGGTTAGGGATTTTCCACTCTTTTCCATTTTTGGCAACTCTTTTCTCACTCCCACTCTCTTACCGTGCTTCTGAGGGGCGTGCACTGCCTTTCACACTTCTTCGTATCGGCTTCTTATACTTACACTCTGGATAGAGGCGTCGACTGATTTTCTTCGTGCGTCACGTGACCACTCTCGGCCAATGAGGTCCTGGTCGGGTATCTTTCCTCCTCCTTCGTGCGTTATGTGATCCACTTGGCCAATGACGTCTTAGTCGGGCGTGAACAACCCGTGGATTTGTTTTGGGAAAGAAATACCTTGCTTAACTAAAAAAAAATAATTAAATCGCCCTTATCATGGGCAGCCGATGTGACACTCTTGGTTTTAACACGTGACGTTTGTCAAGCAGTTTATCGCTAATTGGACATGGCCTAAGAAAGAAATTTTCCTCCAAGATCTCAGCCAACTTGGCGTCTTCAAAGCAGAAATAAAAATATTTCATTTTTCTTCGGCACATGTGTTGATAACAAAAAATCTTTATTATCGCAAGGCAAAAGTCTATTCTGTCAACAGAAAAACTTAGCCAGTGAAGCTACTTGTGTGGGATTTTAATTCTCCACACCCAGCCAAGACTGTCTGTGTTTTGTCAATGTTCAACAATGGATTTCTTCTTTTTGGTGACATCCATTGATAACAAAATTCCATTTTTCGTGGACAAGCGGAAATCGGTCAACGCTTGTTCGTAGGTGACCTAGATATTTTCGACATCTGATACCTATCAACAATAACCTTTTTCCTCCTCATTTCCGTCTCTTAAGCCGTGTGTGTGTGTGTTCGCCTATGACCCGTCTGGTATTACTTTTTCTTTCTTTCTTCTTCGTTTTCTCTTTCTTTCTCCCAAATCGCTTGAATGCAAAGAAAGAATTATTCTTAAAACCTAAAATATTTTTCGGCCTTAAATAATCCTCAAATGGTTGATAAACCGTAAAAAAGTAAATCATATATATCATAGTAATTATTTCTTTCAAATCGTCAGGATGCATGGTGCCACACCAAGGTTATTTGCGTGTAAGTTAATATAACGAACCTAACGATAATTGGAACTCGCTTCTTCGATTGATAATTTCGAGTCATTATCCATTACCCAACCAGCACCTGCAAACTTACAGCACCTGGAATTCCCAAGGGGTCACCCATCTAAGTACTGACCAGGCTCGACGTTGCATTAACTTTGGAGATCGTACGGGAATCGGTGTTTCAATGTGGTGTGACTGTAAGCGTCTATACAAAAAGGATGATACAACAATCCAAATATTATCGTGGAACCAAACCTCTTGTATACCGTTAGGAAACAAATTGAGTAGGTACACAAAAATATAAAGGAGGGTAAGGCAATGATTTCTCTTTTCTTCAGATCTGTTCAAACTCTACAGTAAGGGTTAACCTAAGGGAACTGGAAAAACTACAAAGACTTATTATTGGTGGTGGGTTGGATTTGTTGTGGATTCCGTGAATGGAATCCTACACAAATAAATAAACAACGCCAGAAATTGATACAGAAAAATAAGTGTATTAAACGTAAGAATACAGACTTGAAGTGAAGATTAGTAGTCCAGGAATGCGGGTTAGTAGAAAGTATATGTACAAGTCTCTGTAAGTAAAGCCGTAATCTCTCTCTCTCCTTCTCTCTCTCTCTCTCTCTCTCTTCTCTTCTACTCTCTGAGAACACCCTGTGTCTGTCTCCATATCTCTCAACCTGTCTCAACGTATCTTCACGTATCTCAACATATCTCAATATTTAACATCCCACCCACGAGGAATATATGTGGCACAAGGCTGAGTGGTTTTCTCCGAGCCCGTAGGCTCAGCCAAAAAATATCCCTTTTGAACCCGCATAAGCGGGTTCGGGAACTGTCTACCTCCCCGGACGAAACTTTGCCCTTCGGCAAGGCTTGGTCCGGGTTCCTCTCTGCCAAAGCAGAGAGTTCGACAGACGTCGCAGACAGTCGGAGACTGTATTTCAACGTATCTCTGTATTTAATATCCCACCCACAAGGAATATATGTGGCACAAGGCCGAGTTTAAAGTGGGTTTCTCCGAGCCCGTAGGCTCGGCCAAAAATATCCCCTTTGAACCCGCCTAGATGGGTTGCGGGCCTATCTACCTCCCCGGACGAAACCTTGCCCTTCGGCAAAGCCTCGTCCGGGTTCTTCTCTGGCAAAGCAGAGAGTTCGACAGACGTCGAGACTGTATCTCGGCGTATCTCAACAGCAGGTATTCTCTCTGTCAATATACTTTGGACGAGTCCATCTTATCTAAAAAGGGGAGAGTCCCACAATAGATTTTAACTGTAAGGGACGTTCTAATGGGAGACACAAAGAAAAACTACAGGACCTCCTAGACGATGCAGTAAAAAGAAACAATAAATAATGGTTGGCCTTCAACAGTAATAAAACAGAAATTTTGTGCTGGTTTGTCGAGGGGAATGATACACAGGGAAGAACGGGTGCTTAATATATTTATATAATAATGACGCAATCGACATTCCACGCATACTTCAAACAAAAGTTAGGAAGAAAAAAATCAATACTGTAAACACCGATAACAGTTACTGGACTTCAGAAACTTCTTTCCTTGAAAAATTGTTTTAATAGAAAGATTTTATGAATTTCAGCTGACAATGGCGTTTACTGTCCAGTCAATGAATGCCGAATATTTCTTTATAAAGAAACGGCTTATATTATCCTTAACATAGGTATCTCCACGAAATTGCGAAAAAATAGAGCATAGTCTGATGAAAAAGACGCCAAAATTGACGAAAACAAAATTTTATCGTCAAAATGCTTATGTTTTTATGAAGAGGATAGACCAAATTTTTTTTTAATTATTTTTCAAAATTTTTCCATATTTTTAGAATATTCTAAATTTTGATTTTAAAAAACCTTGTTTATCTTTTTCGCAACAAAGGGAGGTAAATAACATAGATAAATTTTAGCGCGTTTTTTTGGTATTTATATCTATTAATTTGGAAAATTTTGTAAAAATAAAAATAATTGTCAGATGTTAATGAAACTTTCAGAAAATATTCACAAATGATCGAAATTATTATGAATATGTTTTTTTTTATTAAAGTCATGGCAGAAATATTTTTTTTTTATTTTTATTAACACCCCCATATCTAATTTTATGAAAAACTCAAAAAATTCCATACCATCGGGTTTTAGTGATTACAATATTTAAAGCACAAGGCTTTGAAGAATGTAAATCATATTTTGTTTTTTTTTTTTTAAGAAACTCAGTACCTGAAAATCAGCTCTGAATTGTAACATACAAAACTCAATAACAACAAATATACTATTTAATCTCAAACGCTTTTATTTGTTTTTATTTGTTCGTATGAATATGGACAATATTTTCTGAAAGCAAAAAAATTTTTCAATGAAAATTGAATTTTTAATACAATTATTTCTCATTTCTTTAATTTTAAATCGAAATTTTAACACTTTTTCATTACACTTTTTAAAAAATTATAAAAATAAATAACAGCACCATCAACCTTTGTACTTCTCATTCTTAGCTCGTCATTGTCTAGGGATTTGAAAATTGTATAATTTGGACCCATCCGATGACACCCACTAATGAAAAAATGTAATTATGTTTTGATAAAAAGCGCTTAAATGGGTTGTCATTAAAAAGTACGGAAGGTCACGTGGCTTGAGTGTAAGCGTAGATTTCATTATTTATAGTATTTATTATCTCTAGTGTTACGTGTTGATAATTGTAACAAAGGAAAAAAATGATTTACCACAACACAGAGCTAAATCACAAACAAATATTTAATTTACTAAAACAGAACAAAACATATACAGGATAAACAATTGTAGCCTACAAAACAGAAAACACAGAGTTACTGGCGAAGTGTTACGAGGGAGAAGGAAAGGGAGTCAAATCACTTTTTAGGGCGAGTGAAGTAATCTAAGTGCTATATTTGAAATCCACAAGGTGTGTAAATAAATATTAATTTTAGTTTGGTCAATGAAAATTAGTCAAAATTCTATTTACCAACTTTGTTCCATGAAATTCTCTTTTGGGTTTTGGTTGGTCGGCAACTTTTTATAGAGATTCTTTCGGCTGGATATAATAGTCCTTGAATCAAAAGCCGGAGTTGATACTGACAGCATTGACAACCCTTTTTCCAAAATGGGGCTAACACCTAATTTGCATATTTCTAAATTTTTTCTCGAATATACTAGAATGATCTAGAATCTTCCAAACATTCTATTTCTAATTTCTCTATTTTACAACTACTTCATGAGTGAAAACTTTTTTGTAATAACAAGTAGAACTCAAAGGAATCCCTTATTATAGAAATGCATCCTCGTAACAATAGATAGTATCAACAAAGTTATGTTTTAAGTTCCAGTAATAATAAAATAACAAAATAAAGGAAATTGGAATGCTAATTTTTTGTTTTTTATTATCTACTAATTACGGGGTAGTACATAAGCTGATTCACACAAAAAACAAAAAAACGTTACGTCACGTATGACCATCTGTATGATAACGCGAATCTCACGTGAGCTGTCGATATGTGATGACAGGTATCACTTGTCACTCGAGAAATGACAACACAGTTCAGATCGCTTACTTTTTATTTCGAACAATTTTTTTATTCGAAAAAAGTAAGTAAAAGCTTCTTTCAAAATATTTTAACTAATCTTTTAAATTTGCTAATTTTAGTCAAATAAATTTTGAAAAACGTAGAATTGATTTTTTTGAATAATTATAAACAAGGATTTTAACTTGTTTACAAAATTAAAAAAAATGGCTGATAGCTACTTTTTTAAGTAATTTTGATGACAGAAATAAACAACTTTTTAAATAAAATTTCGGACCTGATAAGAATGAGTAAAAAATTTTTAAAAATAATCAAAAATACTTTGGTGTTTCTTCTTAAGAATGATATATATATTTAAGCCGATAAAAATTTATTACATCGTTTTTTTTCATGCTATATGTTTTTTGTAGCAATTTCGTGGAGGTACCTACCTTAACATTAGAGATGTGGAGAACAGGTACTACACATTGTTCCCAGTTAGATGGCCAGGAAATGAAGAAAAGCGTAATTTGAGTAGCACCGTCTGCTTGGTAAATGATTGCCAAATGTTTCCTTATAAAGCAACAACTAATATTACCATCGGAGTAATCCACGCTATTAATTTCATTTCGATGATACTTGGCAGCAACATCGTGTGTTGACAGTGTAACCCTATATTACTGTTGAATGATACAAAGAGAAGAATGAGTGCTTAATATATTTATTCAGCACCAGTATCCGGTGCTAACGGATATATACAAAAACACAGAACAATAAGTTACAAAATAATTAATAAGACACCTTACAATGAATAGAGGAGAGTCAAATGCTGTATAACCAAACAAAGTAAGATCAGTCTAAATATTAATCAGCTTAGTATCAACTTATTAATCAATTGTTGGAGTCCTTAAACATAGACTATTTAAGGCTATGAGCCAGGCCATCTGGTGGAGTGCTGAAGGAGTGCTAGCTGCTCTACAACAGTATGGTTGCGCAAGAGTAAAACCCCAAAATGGGAACTGAGAATTGAAAACGTCAACATCAAACAAGTACAACAGTTTTAATATCTGGCAAATTTTTTCACAGATGATTGAAAATGCGACACTAAAATCCGAACACGCATCGAATTAACGAAAATCACAATCCAAAGGTTAAAGACATTACTAAGAAACGGAAAAATCTCTTTAGAAACAAGGAAGATAATGCTGGATTTCAACGTGCTATTTTTTTTATGGCAGTGAATGCCAGACCATTCTCACCACAGATGAAGCGATAACTAGCGGCAACAGAAATATGGCTCTACAGAAGGATACGGGGAATTCCATGGACGGAGCGAGAAAGAAACGAGGAACTCTCAATGAGAATGGTAGCAAAAACGACACTTCTATGCAGAATCAAAAAGAGTCAGCTGAAATTTCTCGGGCACATAATGAGGAATGTGGGCTTGGAAAAAGTAACTCTCACAGGACGTATCGAACGCAAGAAACATGGGGAAAATTACAGGTTACCTACCTGTCGAGCGTATTTGAATGGATGGCGGAACAGAAGAAGGAGAGTTGAAAAGAAAATCTGCTAAAGCCCACGAGGGATGAAAGGTTGTGGATAGCTATTTCCACTCACGTCCTGAAGGGACACCTAGAAGAAGAATTAAATTTTATGCACGGGAAGTATAAGGTATT